TGGCAATGCCAAATCTAGACTGATGGAATTAAATTATTAGCACAAAATTAAGATAGAACATTTCTCCCTTCTTTCTAACATTTAAATTTTGAAACACTACATAACACTGGGCATCACCTGTACTTCAAGAGGAAACAAAAAAACCCAAGCCAGCTAGTCTCAAAGTAAAGCCTCCAAAACAAGCATGCGCTAGGTACCTTCTGTAAGAAAGCACCACAAAGGATCAAGCAAAATTTCTTCTAGGACTAAACAACAAATTATTGAATGACTTCTGAGAAAAACACACTGTGTGAAAATTTCATTATGTGGAGATAAGGTGAATGTCAGGACTGCCACGGCTGCGCAGAACCTTCTCATCCTCCTCCACACGCACACATACGCAGGCTCTGCTCACAGCTCTAAAGCACAGTGTATGCAAGGGGACAGTGGTGGCAACTTAAGACACAGGGACTCAGCTTTCCAAAAACCACTGCACGTACACTTTCAATTGATTATTTTTCCAACAGTATATATTACTCTCAAATATTTACAAGTTTCTATTTATCACTCAACTGAAAGAAGGCTATTTCATCTTCCAAAATTTCCTATATTAACTAAATGATAGTGTAGGAATAAAATAATTACTCTCTCAGATACACATCTTCGGCACAGGGCCAAAGAGGCAGTTATACTGAACCTTCCTCAGCGTATGAAGAATCACAGTTTAATTCAAGGAGCATCAGGTGTTTTATCCCACAAGATGGGAAGTGCCCTGGTCTTAACTGCACAGTTCTTGGCATGTCACCCAACTTCAAGGACACAGTTAAGACCTGCAGTATGGCTGACTCCTCAATTACACACATTTCCTAACTAGGAACACTTATATTATTGTAGGAATAAGCCTAGAAGGAGTGCTTTCCCTGCATATATTTCTTTTGCTACACCTCTGGTTTTAGGAATGTCATGAAACAACTCTCCATGCTCCCCTGCTGTGGATTTCCATTGTTAATTAAACTCAGCTCTTCCTCCCCCCTCCCTTCCCAGCACAGTGACTGCCAGCTGATTCAACTTCTTGTCAGCAAATGATTTTTCTGATGGAGGTCCAATGCACCGGATGAGAGGGCAGCGTGACAAACATTTGTTTACCCACATCTCCATGTACCAAACCAAACAGCCTTTGGCAGGACTCCTACTTGCTGTGGGGGAGCAAAAAAGTTTGATTAAAAATGGAAATGACCCAGATTATAATGTTCCCACTGCCTTTACAACAAACAAAACTGCCCAAGGAGCTTAAGATCACATGGACCTGTCATGCTCCATCTCCAAGGCTATTCTCTTGGCAGCCTGTGCAGCCAGGTTTGTCAGCAACCATAAGACACAATCATTTCTTGCAAGTTGTGTGATGTTCAGACGTTAAATCTTGACCTCAACTTTCAATTGGGTATTTGCTTCCGCCCATGCTATCTTTATTTCGGATGTCTCACTGTCATTTACCTTTAAGGATATGAGTACTACCAAGAATAAAGGTAAAAATCAGCAGTAAACGTAAAACAGTAGTACAGGTCATACCCGCAGAACTTGGCCATCTCTTCCCTCATCTGCTTTTAAACATGGCTTTATTACTTATTCTGCGTGCCTACAGTTCCTTAATGCTGTGCCCTGCAGCATAAAATTCTCTTATTTTTAGGACACCATGAAAACAAATTGAACATTAAAAGGCTTTTTAAATAATCAAGCAGCAAAAAATTTACAATTTTTGTTTCCCAAATGCCTCAGTCTGTAACAGTTTTCCAGAGAGAGTGAGGATCAAAACGTTTATTTTCCTTTCACAATGGAGAAAATATATTATAATAACACATTCAGGAAATATTAAGATACTAATATTAGAATTCTCGTTTTGGAAAAGATAGATACTTTAGTGCTTAAGCCATCTTTCAGTTCTAAGCAATTAAGAATAAACTCCGGTTAAGGACAGAATACTTCACACGCGAATAAGGATTTTGGCACCCTTCTCTGAAATGTTAGTAAAAAAAAAAAGCACTGGTGACAGAATAACAGGACAAGCTGATTCTGACTGGATATGACAATTTCTGTTTAGGTTAGATACAGAAAAGTTAAGTAACCTGCTGGAGGCCAGAGACAGCAGCAATGAAGCCCAGCATTCCGACGCTCAAGCTCCTAGCTGTCAGTTACATAGTGAAGTACTTTCTTCAGCTGTTAAAAACAACAATGGACACAAATACCTGTACAAGTACTATTTTCTTAGCAGCATCTGTTCAAAACACTTCATAACAGAATAAACCCACAGATTAATATTTCTAAATATGCATTCCTAAGCCTACCCTCTCTTGCAACATCTACACTCACTGCTACAGGTGGGGTTTTTTTCCCCTTAAGCAAGGAAGCACTACCGTGAGTTTTACTGAAAAGAATTCACAACCTATCTTTTAAGAAAAATCTAAGGCACTGGACAGTTGTGCATCTTACTACACAGTGAATTATGAAGGGAAGCAGACATGGGTGCCTTCAATAAGAAAAGTGTGGCCGTGAGAAAGATAAGAGGAAAGAGCAAGAGACAACAAGTTAGGTAGTTCATTTTTCTACATTAACACCTTCTCATTAGGACAATTACATTTGCAGCTGTTCACATACTTTATCAGTTATTTGTTCTTGTTTACTGCATTCCAAGAACTGGGTCAAGTCTTTTTACACAAAGCAACACAAAAGAGATGAGAAATCTTTCCAGTTCTGAATCAAGCTAAGCAAATTCACAAAACACACCTGATAACAGTGCTTCAGTTGGCAGCATTCAAGCTATTTTGCCATGGACATCATGCTCTAACAATGCCTTACAGAAGAGGGACAGAAGCAATTTTTAAGAGCCAAACGACCATGAAGTTTTATTAGCAAGAGAGCAGCTATTACCAAATGGTAATTGGAAGCAGAGAGGTACAAAAAACTTAGGACTGTTTAAAAAAAATGAACAAAACCACACCCAAGTACATCAGGTCAGCTAGAAATAATGCCCCTTGCTACCTTCCAATCTTTCATGTCTTTCTTTGCAATTTGTAAAATGACTAATTTAATCTCTTGCAGTCTGTGAAACCACATCAAAAGTGATTAAATATATCTGCTGCAGCAGTAGGACCAAAGATGCAATCATAATTGCTACTGCTATTATTTATTCAGAAAAGTCCTGCAGCAATTCAGGTTGTGAACCAGAAACAACTGCTTTAACCTTTGTCTTCTTGCTTTTTGACTGCAATGGCTTTTAACTCTACTTTAGTGAGTGCACTTTGTCTTGACAAGTCATTTGTCTCTAACACTCCATTTCAGCTGAGAACTGCAACAGCAAATGACCTTGCCCTCCTCTTAGAGCCCTGAATTTCCATTAGTTAGTGCAACAAGATGGATGATGATTTTTCAGCAGTTATTTTAAGGCTAACAGCAACATACCTAGCTACTGTGAAAATATCAGCATGCAAACTTACATTACTCAGCTTCTGGCAAAAGAAAACTTTGTTTGCAGAGGCAAACTGCCTTCACTGCTAACTTACAAGAGAAATGCATATTTTTGTAGGCTTGCACTCAAGAGGCAGAGAAAAAAAAAACTGGCTCCAGATTCTTTAACTTCAGCATTTAGTACAGATAGGAGAAAGCTGCATTTAAAAATCAAGACTTAGTAAAACTGCAATGCCGGCAGATGAAAGAAATGGTCACATATTTCAGCTCAGGTGGATTATACAGTTGGTCCTTGTGTTATTATCAATGAAGCAGTGCTGTCTTCTGTTTTGCAGACATGATGTGCTATTACAGCTGTCTATCTTACCAAACAAATACAGAAATCCTTTTAATGGATTATTTCATATAGTTGTTTCAATGATATCAGTTAATCTATTCTGGGAAACCCATCTCTGTTCCACTGGTAAAAAGCCCAGGGTAGCCATTAATACGTTGTTTCTAGAAAAAAAAAAAAAAACCACCACACCAAAAAAACCCCACTGAAAATATAATAGCACTTTACTTTTTTAACAAGCTCCCTGCAATCTCAAACTCTGTTTGTCTTAAAGTTATCTTCTTAATCTAGATTACTCACTGAATTATACATAATAGGATATAATTAATTTTGTTTATTAAGTTAGAGAGATGCAAATTTTCATTAAACCTTCCAGATTACTTAAACGCAATAGAGGACACTGACCCATCCCTTTCCCTCTAGGCAATCGGATAACCGAGGACCTAAATCCACTTGACAAGCACATGCTCCTTCAGCACTCCACATGCACAGTGTCTGCAAAACATCATTCTGACCATTTGCTGGATAGTCCAGCTACTGATGAAGGGCCCAAGGTTCTTCAACAGGACAGTGCAGTGCCAGCAGTCACCAGAAAGCAGCAAGGCCTCAGGGACCCACATAACCTTCAGCACATCGCTCTCTGTCCCTACAGCTATCAATGAGATGTCTTCTCCAACAGGGAGCAGCTACAGACTCCTCCTCCTGTACACACAGGTTGGTGAGAGGGCATCGTATACCACCAACCTACCCCACCCAGGGAGCATCTGCTAACTTCACTTCTTGGTTCTCTACCAGTGCTCTAAGTGCATCCCAATTCTGCTTACACTTACACCTCTCATGAGGGCCCACCTGCCTATTCCTCAACACCATCCAAATAGATGATGGTAATTTAGAAAACGCCTTTTTTGAGGCCACTACTCAGTCTTTCTGGTCCATCTTCTGAGTTGTATTGCCAAGTAAAGGGCAAATAAGAAGCTGAGGCATCCCGGTAAATTAAATTAAGGAATCAAGTACATTGCTCTTGCTATGAAGAGTCTCCATCCACAGCAACCCACATTTCAAACCGGCTGAACCTGATACTGACTACTAATGCTCTTTCGGGCTGCAAATGCACAGTATGTGAAAAGCTAATCGGGCACCTCCAAACACCGAAGAAGCAGAGACACAATCTGGACTCCTCCTACGCCATGACTGAAGGGTGGTATTGATCACTGCAACTGGAAAAGAAAAAGGTGAATTGCGAAATACGACTAGTGATCCAGAGAAGTCCACCACAACCCCCTTTAATGCTGGGGTGAAAAGTGTTTTAAGAATATCACCAAAGTGAGAGGTGAGTGACAATATTTAAAAATAAGGAAATGCTGTAGATCCATTTTTATTCTGGAGGAAAAAGGGATAGACAGATGATGCCTCAAGTCACATGTCATTATTTGGGCTGGGAACAGACACCTCTTAGAATATCCTTCCATTTCATTAAGCTTTGACAGAAACAATATTCCTGGACCTTCAAATGTCCTTGCTAGCTTCTTTTAACCCCAGGCAGTAATATATTCACATCTGTTTTTCCTAGCACACTAAGCAGTTCTTAAAATTTGAAGAAAGACTTCTTGGTTGCCCATTTTGTTATGCAGCACTTCTGTAGAAAGCTCACTTTGCAAAGTTATTTCCATACCTGGAAGCAGTGGGGTTTTTTTTACATCGTTATATTCCAGAAGCTTTGCAAGTAATCTGACTGAGATTTCCGGAGGATGACACAATCTGCCATTTGCACCTGAGCCCAGAAGATTTAAGTGAAAGGAAATTATGGTCAAAAAATACTCCCACACTGTGCAGTCAAAAGCAAGAAACTATTGTGGGATGACAGTGTTAAATACTCTATCCATAATAAACACATTCTCAGTCAGCAGCAGCAGTTGCCTTACTGAATTTGCAGTGGTAACAATTAAGAAATTCAAACCATTCAGTTTGCATACATATACACCAAGTTTTGTAGCGTATTATTTCATCAAATAATTGTACAGTCACGTAATACGAATGGCAAATCAAAGTTTAAAAAAAAAGGCATTATAAACGTTACAAGTAAATGCTATATTTAAAATTTAATTTACATTTTGGAATTAAAATCAAAGTAACCACCTAATTATGTTTGTAAAGAGGCCATACCATAAAAAAACCCTACATGGAAGAACAAAGGAAAAAGCAACTACAGGTACTTAAAACTGCAGACATTGACATTTAACAACTAGAAATCTACCAGGTAACAAGGAAAGCAAGCATTAATGCCTCAAGATGAGCCTCTCAACGCATCCAGTCCTTTCATTAAGCTCACTGTATCTTGCAACCGGGTAATTCCTCTGCAGAAGCAGCTCGGGGCATGCCTGGGACTGAGGGTGAGGAGAGCATCCCTCACGTGCCCAACCCCAGCTCTTTTCTGGCAATTCAAGCTTCGCCCATAACAAACAAGCATTATGGTTCAAACTGTTTTTTTAGGACAGTCGTGAAGAGCACACATGTACCTACACCCACCCATAAACGTAGTCTAAATGTAAGTACTGATCTGCTTCAGTGATAATGCTACAGTTAAAGCCACATAGCTTTCCTACTCTGCAGACACTTAAACAAAGGACAAAGGGGTTTAACATAGTTCTATCTTACTCTAGAGCAGGAGATTTGGGCACACGAGGAAGAAAGCACCTCAACACAAACATAACCGCAATGACACCAAGGTGTTACTCTATTTACAGCTCAGAAAAAAATAAAGGCCACATTTA